GATGTATAGACATTTTTATAATTTTTGCTCTACCAGTCAGAATGCACAGAATAATTAAGACGATAGCTACATGTCATAGACTAAGGAGAATTTCACTTAAGGTTTTTTTTTCCCACATAAAAACTCCGCTTTCTGTTCTGAATTATGATTGCATGTTAAGCTCTCCAAGCAAGCACATCAGGTTGAAGGTTGACCTCAGCAGCCATGAGGTGGAAAGATGTGAGGAGACAGAAAAACAGAGGTGAAGGAGCGGTCAAGTTAGAAGCATCTGGAAGTGCTTGCTGAGGAAGCACTGTGACTCTTGCTGTCAGTGCTGTTCTTTCTCCCATCCACCTTCCTAACACTTCATTCAAGGTTTCTGAGACTAAATAGCACAAGATGCATAAGCTGAAATGCATAGCTGTTATTCCCGGCTAGAGCAGCTTCTTCAAATCTTCATCTGGTCCCCTCCCCTGGTAAACTAATCTGAACCATGTATGACTATTGGGACTCCTTTTCCTTTTCCCTGTTACGATCTCGAGCCAGACCGAAGCATTTTTTTTTACCACATTTCTTTCCCCCAGGGCCTCAGTCTCACTCCACTCTATATGGTATACCTGAGCTAAGGTTTGCCAAAGTAAGGGGTGAAGACTTGCATTTTGATTCCTCTATTCCTCCTGCTTACTTCTTTTGTGTCCTGATGGCACTGATGCATTCTATGTTCCCACCCTGAGCTTAGGATACAGAGCACCAGGGAAAATATTGTGGCCCCTGGATGAGTAACCCACAGTGCCTAACTTACCATTCTTGAATCTTGAGATAGACCAGAGATTCAGAAGTGTTAACTCATGGGCTCAACTAGCCAGAGAGCTAAACTCTTTTCCAATGGTCTGTGTACTCAAAAACAGCAGTCATGTTGTTATAATCAGGGCAAGTGAAGTTTATGGTACAACACATGGATTTCTTCCCTTTGAACATGGAGCACTGACTGTATACTGGGCATTGTAATAAAGCAGGAAAAAAGACAGGCAAGCTCCTAGTGGAGAGAAGACTCACAGGAAACATGCAAATAAATAAACAAGATTATATTAGGGAATGGTAAGAGCTATGAAAATAACAAACCAGGTTGATGTCATAGTAACTCGAAGAATGGGGCTGCTCTACATGGTGTGGTCAGAGAAGGGTTCCGGAAGTTAACAAGCTGAGACCAAAAGACAAGCCAAAGAGGACATTCTAGGTGGAGGAAATAAATGCAAAGGCCCAAAGTCTAGCATGGACTTGGAAGGGCTTTATCTTCTCATTTTCATTTAGGGCAGTCGAAAGAGTCTAGAGAACTGACTCTGGAACCTGCATTTCCATTAACCAGCACTTGTAAGAGGAGATGATTAGGCTTGGAATTCTAGGACCCTTGTCTATAAATCGTTACCCTGAGAAGCAGAACCCAAAGCTAGGATTCATGTGCAGGCAGTTTATGTGAGAGGTGTTCCCAGGGAGCAGAAGCAAAGGACTGGGGCTACAAGACAGGGAAGGAGGGAAAACCACCATGAGGTGAGTTATGAAGATCACCGCTGTGGGCAAGGGGAGCTTGATTCCACTGGGAGTAGCATAGAGAATTGTCCACTGAGGGACTGGGGACTGGGACACTTATTCACGGACCTCTGGCTCCAGTTGGTTGAGGGTGGCCCCTGGAGGCATTAACTCGCCAGCATGTCTGGGCTGTGCTTTTGCCATTGGAACAAGGCCAGGTAGTCTCTGGAGGTATTAAATAAGTTTGAGACAGAACGCAAAAGGATGTGTGGCATGTTCTTGAAATGGCAGGCTGTCAACATCAGGTGAACCTATCAACATGATCATCTGCTGCAGCTCCGAGTGAAATGAAAGGTAAGCCAAAGCATGTGACACCAGGTGTGTGTGTCACACAGTATAATGGGATTCCACCCCTCAGCCCCCAATCCATTGGAATATTCAAAGGAAGGCTAAGATTGGGGGTGGAGTACAGATTTGCTCTACAGTTCTGCTTCCTTAGGCTGGTTCTTATAGAAAAGATGCTTGGATAGAATGGAATTATGAAACTGAAGCTGGAATCACCTCGTGAGGTCCTTGAACTTATCCTGCTGCCACACATCCCTGACAAATCTAGCTCATCGGAAACTCAATCCACACGAGCCTCAGAATGGAAGGACATGGTGACCTAACAGAGCTACGTCTCCTTTCCTTCGGGAGCTCTTGCAAGCCAGGAAACTTGGTCAAAGATTAATTCAGTGGATTAAGAAAGACTTCTCCGCTGAATGAAGAAGGCAGGGTCTTTATGTAATTAGTGCATAATAAAAGGTAATAATGACAAAGTCCATGGCTTCCTATGATTTGACGTAGTGAGTAGGGCAGGAGGTAGCATGTTAATTAAAATCTATGTTTTTATTCTTTTAGCAAATTGTGGTTTAAGAACTCGAAAAAGTACAGACCTTCAGACTAAGTAGAACAGCATTCTAATAATAGCAAGGAATAAGCAAGAGAAGGTGCAGTCTCTCACTCAGTGCTCCCAGTGCAATGAGTCCGGTTCACCTAGCTCAGTGAAACTGGGAGAAGGTCACAGTAGGTGAGTGGAAATAAGCAATGAAATGGAAAGGAATAAAGTCTCAGAGGCAACTGAGGCTTTCTGAGATT